CGTATTCTGTATCTACGGATCAATATAGCCATCAATAATCCAAGCCAGAGTTTGTGTCACACCACGTGACAGACAATTTTCGATTTTCTAGGCATTTCGGTAATCTGAATTCACCCCCTCCTGTCCAAGTATTTTAGTACACAGGATTCAGCGACATGTGACCCTTTCGTCATGTCTAATGATCACCTCTGAAATATCTGTAAACTACCAGATTGCACAGCGAAACACCCCAGAAGAGTAATTTTTATACTCGCCGCCGAGAGAACCTGAAATCTCATATTCGAGTTTTGTAAACGACCAGAGTGTCAACAATTTAACCTCGACGGATAACATCATAATCACGTGGATCGGTATGCCCGGGAAGTATCAACGTGCCTTTTAAGTTTCTTCAGCATTGTATGCGTAGAATAATTACGACTTGCGACGTGCTAAATTTCTAAAGATGGGAGCGTTTTGCAGAGACTTGCTTTCTGACCCACTCGGCTGCCTGTGCAATGAATATCTGGGGTAGAGTGACCGAAGATCGAAGTCGACAACACATTTCCTTCTTCAGTAGTTTCGAGATTTAGACTGCGGAGCTTTGTTTCCACTCCTCCCTGTACCTTAATTACGTGATGCTCAAGCACAAAGACAAATTTACTCTTACCTCACAATTTTAAAATTATCGGCGGATACAATAGTCCGCACGAGGACCAAGATAAGCTGGAAAGCACTGCCTTGGTTGTTTCGTCTTTCTCGCGTTTCCTTTGCATCAAGAAGAAATGGAACTGCTTCTACCGAGTCAAGACACGAAGCAAAATTCAACATCGATAGAAGAACTATAGTTACAGCTGACAGTCAGACCCGAACAAACATTCGGATAGCCGAACGATTTGTAACTGGTTATTAAATGACGCTATATTAATTAAAACAACTAACAGACACACTCACCCTGTATTATCACACGTTTGTACACCCGCTACGTTGTCATTACCAAGTATAGAATATTAAATAGCACAAGAACTGGATGACCTCCAATGGTAGAACATTTATACCAAGTTTCTTAAAGATCGGTCAACTGGTTAAAAATATAATAGGAGCCCGCGTGCGTACGCACGCACAGACACGAACGTGATCCCTTTAGTCTACCTTCGTTCCTTAACAAATCAGAGAAAACAGGCTACCAATTTGGTCTCTGCTTCCAAGAAAACACGCTGGATTTTTATTATAAATATCAGTCACTTATTGATATATGTTCTGTAAATTAAAGAAAAATGGATATTGTATGGTCAAGACTCCTCGGCTGAGAACATATCAGGTGACCTGAACAGTTGCAACTGCCCGACAAGGGCTTAAAAATAATGTCTTATCAAGAACCCTTCATATCATTTCATCAACCACAAGACAACAATTCAATAAGAGCTATATATTAATGAAATGTGCGTGGTCTCGTCGTTTCCCTTTATATAACGAAGGTAAACCGGAAGAATACGAAGGTCACTGCTGTTTCATTTGACTGGGACAGTTGGCATTCGCCACTAGAACACTCGTTGCCCTTGAAAGAATGAGTCACGTTCTGTGTTTATTCTTTCTTTATGGAACAAATGTGTCTACTAAGTACGTCAAACTGTAAAAACAAGTCCTTTTTCTTTTCACTAAACTTATCCCACAAAGACTTAAGTTTCAACACAAGTTTTCGTTTTCGTTTAAGCACTGTATTTAAAAGAGTAAAATTGTAGCAACTGTACATAAGACGGGCCTTATTAAATATAGCCAAATAGCAGCAAATTTTTTTTTATGTTCAAAGTGCAGTGCCATTATGGAGTGCAACAATGCCACGGAACTTATCATGTCCATTTTCACGCCAGAACCCACAGACATCTCTGCCTGGTATGCGATCGTGTGCAGTATTTGACAGTTAAAAACGTCGCCGTAATTGGCACAGAACAGGGAAACTTCTTCATTCTTCAGATCTGTAAGTGTCACCATCTTGTGAATTTACCTGAAATGCAGGATTTTAGGTTTTCACGGCAATGTGCGAATGAAGATGAGCGTTTTTTGAGTTGTTATAAGTGATTTCACGTATAAAAGAGGCAAATTCTACACCGGTACGACACGTAACTTATCTAAGAGTTAAAGCTACGGTACTGAATAAAAATGTTAAGAGCTGTTGCTTATCACCAAAACAAATATTCTTATAACATTACTGTACGATGAAAAAATTGTCGCTAATCGGTATATCATTAGCTATTTAGAGTCGAAAATTATACTTCAACATTGCCATCTCACAACTCCACGCACAATCTCCCCCCCCCCCCCCCACACACACACATAGAGCATCGCGGTATTCACATTTTGCTTCCTTGGTTAAAAGCGGTATTAATTTTTCTCTGAACATTTAAGTCGGTTTAGCGCCGCCATTCAGCTCGGCGCCCAGGGCAATAGACAGCTAGCCCACCCCTCAGGCAGGCCTGTCTGTAAAAATAAAGTGTTAAATGGAAATTCAGTTTGTTTTTCTGTTCTCCCTTGCACATGTTTAGCCCGGATCAAAGCTAAGGAGAACATTCGATGTACTCGGGCAAAGGTATACACGAATCAATGTGCTCTTCCAGCCCCACCATACACTCAATCCACGAGCTGTCACTTAACAAACTAATCACGAATAGGTTGATTTGGCTCTAGGCTTGTATTCTGAAGACGCCCAATTCGAATTAATAGTTTTCTCATGGCAACTGCCGCGACAGCGCCTTCAAATATGCCGCAACCACCTCGTTCCTAATCTTAATGTAACCACAATCTAATCCCCAATTACCTTATGTTAGACTTGTTTGTAACGGTTGTACGGATACTCGGAAGTACGACAGGCCATGAAGACAGCCTCTTCAAACTTACTAGCCGCAAGATCTGAAATCTCGCTTAAGGCCTACACATAGTCACTGAGGTATAAAGTCTCACCCTGAATCTTTCCAGACAACCATTCGTATACATTTTCCAGGCGAATTTGATGGTACATAATCCCTGCAGTTGAAACACCTTCAAGAAGCCAATAAAAGAAAAATGCTCATATAGCATAGCATTGTGCGAAGTATAGAAAATCAGGCTACAGTAAAAAAGATTGCAGTCTTCTGGGTTATTGCTCCGTGTAGTCTGGTGGTAGAAATCTACCAGTCTACACGGCGCAATAACCCAGAAGACTGCAATCTTCAGACTCACGGCTCTGAAAACCTCAAATCCTACGGGCTACAGTAAATTAAATGTACTAGGAGCTATTCGAACTGAGGTCCGAACCCAACAATTTTCAGAAATTGCATAATGTTCATTTATACTCGACCTGAAAAACTACCGTTCAACTTAGCATCTAGGCAATAGTAATAAACTTGTTCCGATTCTCTCACGCCCACTTACCAAGGTTCAGAAAGTCAACGTGTCAGCCACACTACCAACATCCACACAACCCATCAGCTACACAGTCAACAGCGCACTACGATGCCACAGACACTCCAAGTGCCTCTTGCTGGCTACCGGAATTAACATTCGAGAATCGATACGAAATTCGCATCCTGTCGATTTTCCTTGCGAAGATTGTATGAAGTGAATGTCTTTGCTAAGAAAACGACAATAAGTCCTGAATTCGAAGCAGTAGATTTTTGCTGTAAAATGTGCACTGAAATATGATTTCTCATTTTCTCTCATTCCATTTATTCCATCAATTTGACTAGGATTTTAAGGACAGATGGATAGTGAAACTTTCAAGGTTGAGGTTATATGAACACAATGGCTGTCTGAATGGTTATATTTCAGGCAGTTTTCTCCTTCACTCATTTCTAGTCACTCTGTCATGAGGTTCCACTTTACTTACCACACTCTGTAACTCCTTGTGATATAACCATGTGGGTGGCCAGTAAATACTTTCACAGACTGGTATGGTTACCAAAGAGCCATGATATTTGGTCAGTAAAGTGAATGAGTATGGGTTACATACCCAGTATTTGATTCCCAGAAGGGGGTATGAGAATTGTTCTTTTTATGTCAAGACCAGATCTGCTACTGTTCACACCTGCATGAACTTCACCTAGCATCCTATCCACTGGGTACCAGGGGTACTTTCCTGAAGGTAAACAGGTCAGAAATATGAACTATTACAAAATTACAACATAAAACAGCAAGTAAAGCAATTGAGAGGCCAAATCAATATTTGATATATTATTAATGTAAACTCAAAATTTTGTATCACTGTCCTATTCATAAGTTCCACAAAAAAGAATGTTCCAAGTATAACTATTAGGTAATTTGTAACAGTTCATCACACCAAATTTAATTCATATACAGTGGATTCCGGTTAATTGGGACACATCAGGACTAGAACACTTTGACCCAATAAAGCAGCTGGACCAATTATGCGAAGTTCCACGTAAAGAGTTAAAAACGTTTGTTCTTTAAAATTTGTCCCAAATAAACGGCTTCCCCGATTAACTGATGGCCCAATTAACTGGAATCTACTGTACTTGCAACTATTCATCTGTTACTGAAGATACAGAAAAGCAGATACAGTTAGTTTATTCAGCTAACTATATGAAGTTAAAATGTAATTATTTGTAGGTTATTTTGTTTCCTAAGCATATAACAAGAATCACAAATCTAATTTAAGAACTCCACAATAGAACACAGACATGTCTGAGTTACAACAAAAAGTTTTGACTTAGTCACTCAAAGGGAATAACACAAAACAGTAGTGAGCTCATCCTCCAGCTCATATAATGAGGTTTGTTTATTTATTTAATAATAATGTACCAAATGTTGAGGTTATGTAATACTGGATGATGAATGACTTTGAATAGTGACTAAGACAGGATTTGCAAGGATGTGATTATGGTGTATAAAATAGCACTGATCATGAAAATCTCATTTAGGATAGCAAATGTCTGACTGGCATTTGAAATGAGTATTTACAATATGTAAATCAGATGCTAATCATTCAATAAAATTAATGAACTGAATAACCTGTCTGTTGCTTTAATTCCAAGTCTTCTCAGCATAAAACAAGGGTCAAATTATGTATTTAATATTTCTTTGGACATGATGTTTACTTATTTTTGATAAATAGCTATTTCTTAAAGCCAATAATATTAGCCCAACAGCAAATAGTCATAAGACATTTTTCCTTAATTAAATATTACCACATTAAAAGCTTTTCATATAAAATTATTGTAGTTCTATATTTTATGTCATGTGATAATTTTCAAGATATTGGCAGAAGTCTTGACTGAAATTTATTTTTGGTAAAGTAGCTTCTATAGTGAAGTAATATGAATCAAAATTAAATGTCAACATTGTTTAGTGTAGACTTACAATAATAAATTAATCAAAATCCATTATGGAGTTGCAGAGATGAAATGTTACTCACTGATGGACATGACCTCACCTATGGGCATTTACTCACATACATTGTATAAAGAATACATTAAATGCAGAAATAAGATTTTAGAAGTCAGAAAAGAATCCTGAGTGAAGATTCGATCATGGATCTATTTATCAGAAAGGTCTTATCAAGTTCTCCCTATAGAACATGGCTCTACTCTAGAGATCATCTGCCAAATCATGGGGTCAGTAAGGAACAGTGTATTGAATTTTCTGAAATAAAATAAATTTCTCCTGATTTCTCACAATTTTAATTAATTTTCAAAATGATTATTTAATCAACAGCTGGAATTTCTGTTGTAAGTAAGATGTCATTATTTAAGAAGTGATAAGGACAGCACACACCAGCATACCTGCAAAGAGAGAAAAAGTTCAGCAAATAGTTGTTAGTGTGAAATCATTAACAAGTATGGTTACTGTTTAATTCATTTAAAGTTGAATAAAATGCACTATTTATTCACAGCTGTCAACACACTAAGCAATCCAATCACTTTGCAGAGGAATGAGAGATGGTGTTATTTAAAAAAAAATCTGTTATTTACATACAACTAAAATATAGAGATATCCGTCTTCTGGGTTATTGCGCTGTGTAGTCTGGTCGATGCCCTGATGACGGAGGCAGTATGACCTCTGAAACGTTGGTTAACATCGACCAGACTACACAGCGCAACAACCCAGAAGACAAATATCTTCATACTCACCGCTGTGAGAACCTCAAGTCTTACAACTAAAATATAATGTGTAAGTGTATAAAGTTTCATTATCTTTTGTAACAGACTGAAGAGAAACAAATTCTCTATTCAAAATCTTATTTATTTAAATATATGCAAATATGGTATACTGTGTGTATCAATGAAATGTAATGTGTAGTTCTTACCCCAGCCTCATATTATTTTGACTCCGGAGTAATCAACTCTGAATTAGAATCACAATTTATAGGTGCCTTTATCCTTCTAATTCAGAAGTTTCTGTCAGTTGACAGACTGCAGGGAATAAGGCACTGTGCATTTTTATAATTTAAGTAAAATTAGATCTGATCTTTTAAACTATCACATAATTCTGAATTCATATTTCCACATCAGCAGTAAAATGTACATGTTTCCTTGCACTTCCATAACTTCCACAACTTAAAAGAGTAAACTGATATTGATGACCAGCTTTGTTATTAATTTAAAACCCAAAGTCACTGTCCAACCACATGCAGACAGCATTTGATCTGTTTCAGTGTCTAATGATAAGTCCAATTTTAACTAATGGATCCCATATAGTACATACCCTTTCCCTTAACCAGGAAGTGGAAACTACGTCTGCTTACAAGATTTTATATCTTTGGAGAACAGACACTGTCCAAAGAAAATTCTTTGATGACACATTCATATTTGTACTTTATACATACTATAGAGGTTTAGTACTCACCTTCCAATGGAGCAAAAGTACTTGATAAAAGTCTGGTAGTCATCCATGAATTCTTCCTGCACACAACTTGGCATGGTGCGGCAGAATCCAATTTCTCCATCAGGGGTTGTGCATTTCTCTGCATTCTCAAGAACCTGTACACAAAAATGTGTTCCTCTGGACCTTATTTTTCTTTCAGTATCAGAAAAGGGTTCCAATGTGGTCCTCTAATCAACTAACTTAACAAGATATAGAAAAATCAAAAGTTCTTACTTTTGATTTTTCGATATCTTGTGAAGTACATAACTCACCTTCTCGCTTTCGTTTTCCAATTACTGCCATCTAATCATTATTGAATTTATAAGTACTGGGAGAATGGGCACAATGATATAATCTTTAACATTCTTATTAGACTTGTATTTAGGAGGTACCCAGTTTTAATTTTGACACAATTACCAGCTATTTTTATGGAAGCATTCCATGGTTTTCTTAACAGACTTTCTAAGAAAATTCCCAGATATTATCCTGAATAGACCCAAACTGCTTCCCCAACACACTTACCTACTTACAGTTTGTGGCCATCGACAATTTTCGTTTGACATTAATATGTCCTATCCACAGTTCAAACAGCATTTTCAAGTGATCTAACAATTCATGAATCAAGTATTGCATTAAGACAGTTATTGCGATTTCTGTGTAGTCTGCATGTTTGAAATATTTATACAGGGCTTATAACCCATTACCTATTTTTAAATGTTTGCAGGATTTTATTTTTTGTGCTGATTTTGATGAATCAAACCAAGGTTTTAAGAAATTATCATATTGCAAATGATGTCCACAGTTTACAAAGTTTTAATTAGATTGTACTGCTTTTGGCAATGAAGTCAGTTGTTTAGTGTAACTTAAGATGAGTTAACTAGTCTTGAAACACACCCAATTTCCTGAAAAATTAGTATACATTGTGGTGGTTGTGGTTTATTGCGATTGTTCACACAGTGTAATTTTGCTGAAGTTCCTGCTTTACTCTTATTGTTTGAATAATATGTTCACAATGGTTTTATTTTTTAATTTCTGAATTGCTCATATTGTGGATTATAATCCATGACTGAATGATTGTTTCCCAGGATGATGGATTGACAGACTTGTCATTTATGAATGGCCTCCCTGCAGCCAATACTTGATGCACTGTGACTTTCTCCTGTGTGGGTGGGCCAAAGAACAAGTTTATCATATTAAAGCAAGAAATATGAAAGAACTGGAGGAAGAACCAATGTCATTAGCAACATTCCAAGAAACATGTTTTGACCTGCAGTAGTGAACATGCCATTCCAATTAAGGATACATGCTGACAGTGTAGAAGCATATGTGGATAGTTAATGTATTGTACTTAAAATATTCTTGAATGATCTCTAATTTACAGTTTAATTAATTAAAAACAACTGGAAAATAAAATGTCTGCAGCTCTTTAAAAACAGACGGCTAATTTAATTATTTCCTGCTACTGCTTGCACAATGTTCCTCCTCTACCTCAAGGGTTGAGTTACAATTCATGAATGAAGACAATTTTACCTTTGATCTTGGCAATAAGTAATAATAATCATGAGACAATGGTGATAAAAATAATAATGACTATAACAACATGATGATGGAAATAACAGTGATGATTATGACAATGATTATATGTTTTTTGCTAATTTAATAATATTTTCTCAACTGCATAAGTCACTTATATATTATCAGATGGAAGGATGATTGTGAATGATGAGTTAGGAAGGCATGGAAGGACAGCCATGATTTGTTTTAAAATTCTATCTCAGCACTTGCTTGAAGAGCTTGAGAAAATGTAACAACCTCAGTCAAGAAAGCCAACTTCTGAGCTGCAAATTGAATCCAACAAATCCTGAATATTTGTCATGAGTGCTAACCACTTAACATAACATTCCATATGATGATGATAACACTCACACTGATGGCAATGATGGTGATGTTATTACAGAGAGGACTTCAGATAAGCATAATCAATATGCACTCTGTAGCTGAACACTTAGACACAGGAAAGAAAGCAAAAAAAGAGTTCTTGTGCATGGCTTGATGAATCATTTACTGACAACAAAGTTCATTCATACTTCCTTCGCAAACTCCTCCCTGTAGAGGTTATGTAAACACCCTTTACAGTAGCACATCTTACTGTGACTCTTCCCATAATCATTCTTAAGCCCCAATCTTACCTCTAAATTTTTTGGCAATTCACCAACCAGGTAGGTTGAGTTGTTTATCAAGCTGTCATTGGTTACAACAATGAGTTGATTCTCAGAATCAAAGTAGTCCAACAGCCATGACACATCTGCCAGTGTGAAGTTAGTTATGTGGGGCAAACCTGAATTAAAATAACATTCATTGAAAGAAAAGTACAGTGACTGTTGTAATAAAAGTTTCATCAAAATTAATCATAGTCAGATGACTGAACAGCTCTGAGTGCTAAGGGAAGACTGTACCAGAGAGTCAGAGAAATGATTAATTACCATATTTAAACTATAACATTACTTATTTTTAAGTACATAGCTGCACATCTATAAAGACGACTTACTCTGTTAGTTTACAAATAAAATATGCATGATTACCATTGATATTACTGACTGTAGTTGTAGGAAGACTTGTAGTAAGCTCTGATGCCGGTTTAATGGTCGCTGATGGTGGTTTGAAAAGAATGGTTGGCACAGGCACTGTAAAATGCAACATTAGCTCAGCATCAGTAAGAATGACAATCAATGCTGTTTCATTTCACTACCATTATCATCATCATCAATATAATTTCTTCTCTTTTCATAGGTTTTTCCTCACACTTTTCCTTTTTGACCAATGGTAAAGCCCACTGCTCAGGCTTCAAGTTTCCAATTGTAGCGCCTTCCTTATGATGTGTGATGTTCTAGTAAAGCTGCTTTTTTATTTTTTTTTACTTTTTTATTTATTTTTTATCGCACAATCTATTGAATGCTTTCCTGGTGTTGTTTCCTGATATATTTTCAGTTCTTTAGTTACAATTCATGTCCATTATTATAATTACAAAAATTATTATCAATGTTGTTGTTGATGTTGTCATTCTTATTGTTATTATTATTAACATTATTGCCATTGTTGATGTTCTAGTTATTAAACAGCGGTCACGGAATATGCTCTATGGTTTGTTCTGATTCGGTAGTAAATGTGAGATAATGAGTACTTGTAAACTCTTGATAGAACTCCTTACATAGGAAATATGTCCACCTCAAAGTCCCTACCTATGCAGAATAAAAGCACAAACAAAAATTTGCAGACATATGTAACTGTCATGACTGGAATTTGCAATCACAGATTTTAAGCAGCCCAAGACTTCATGTTCCTTCGATTGCATGGGAACATAATAATACTAATAGTAATGACAATAACAATATCTAAAAAACTTACTGATTTTGTTCTGAAGGAATGGTGACTCAAAAAATGGGACAGGATCAAGTACATTACTACCAACAGGATCATTCACCAGTTCAGACACTCCATCTTCAGATCCATTCACTGGTATCACCAAAACCAAAGATGTGACTGGTGTCACAAATCCATACTATGGGAACAACACAATAAATATAAATTAAATATTTTGTTATTTATATATACTACAAATTAAATAACTCAGTAGCATTTGAGGTTCTTATAGCAGTGAGTACAAATATAGCTATCTTCTGGGTTGTAGGTCCATGTAATCTGGTAGAAGTTTAAAAATGTTTTAGAGGTTTACTTTGTTCTAATAGGATGCTCATGAAGCTGAAACAAAACTTCAATAATTTCCTCAAAAGCAGTTCATCATATAAAAGTTCATATTATGCAAGTAAAAATTATGGTTTAAAACTTTATTTTAAACATTTTTCAATATAGTGAACTGTTCACAAACTATGAGGAAAAACTTTCTGATTTTTATGTAGTGTTATTAACTTTCAGGTGGCAGATTTGTATCAGCATAAAATACAAAATTTGACATGAAAGCATGTGGGTGTACATCTTTCCAGTCTTCATATTCTGTAATACTTGTTTCCATGATGCAAAAAGACAAAAATAATTCCTTACTAGCATGCCTCTTCTATTCACCACCACAGACAGACACTTGTGAACGCCTAGTTATAAAATATACCTTCAGAGCCAGACTCAAGGCTCTTGCCTTGGGACTGGAGTCTTCATAGTCTGCTTGTTTTTCCTTGATCAATTCTGTCGTTCCAAGGGGATCACTGTCTTTATCTGTGGAGGCGAGATACTGGTCCAACAATTGACGTACTGTGAGATATGCCCACATTCGCTCCAGAGACCCACCATAACTGTGTTTCCTACGCTCAGTCTGTGAAAACAAATGTTTATTAACACCTTGTGTCAAATATCAAAGTATGTTTTCTTGAAGACAATTATGAAATTGCATCATAATCTCCTAAATTTTATTGAGCTTTAACATCAGTTTCAGTACACTGCAAGGCATCATAAAATATTTATATGTACAACAAAGCAACATATCCATGATATACCCACCCTTGCACCCATCCATTCCTTACCAACCCACCTATCCAGTGACTCACTCATATAACCACACATCCATCCACTCAGTCATTTTATTTATATAGCTTAATCTTACCAGGCTACTCTTGGAGATGCAGAAGGGCTTGTATGACACTTCCCTATGCTCAGTTCCACTCCAAGCATTGACATGTGCCCCCAGGTCTTCATACACCTGATCCTTGTTAGAACTGCTGACTTTTCCAGCTACAATTATTTCACTTCCACCATAATATGAATGAAACCAATTAGTGGTGAGTGATATCTTGTCCACCTGAAAAGCACATTATAAGTAGCAGGAGTAGATGTCATGAGATTATAAGGCAAACTGCAAACTGGCTTTACAAGATCTCCAATAGAACAATGAGCAATGATCGCACCTATAAACAATGCACGAACATGTGATGTCTTACCCTTGGACCATCAGATCCTCCAAAATTGTTTGTTTCATCACTTACTTCGGATTAGTCTTATATTAAGTGGAATACTATTCATTATCTACCATACAGTGCCAGGTTCTTTCAAGATTGGCATAACCATAAAAATAATTAAGATAGGAGGATGTTGACTGGATTCATAGGGACCAATTGCAGGCTTTTATGAACATGGTAATAAACCTTTTGATTCCATAAAAGTAGGAGACTAACCAGCTGAGTAATTATCAGATTCTCCATAATGACACTATTCTACAGAATCAGTTATGACTCTATTCTATGGACTTTGTTAGAGTAACAGTAACATGAAAAGCTACTTACTTTGCCATCTAAATAAGCAAATGAGACATTTGCTAATAAAGGAGATGCTATTTCATTGTAGAATGATTGGAGTTGCAGTGCTGCATCAGATGCTTCATAAATTTTCCTTGTAAAGGCATAATTCTGTAGTGACAGCTTCTTCAGGAATCTGTAGTTGGCTCCATCACCAAAAGCAAGGTTAAATATGGGTGCCTATGTAAAAAAGGGGAAAGACATTTTACTGAATTGAAAGTTTGTTGTTATTCATATCTTTGGGTAAAAACACTGAGTTGTGATTGTCCAGTTTGACAACATTCCACAGGAAGTAGCATAGTCCCACAGTCAATCTGGATATAGCAACAAAGAGAAAAATCCCTCTCTGTTCCAGTAGTATAACCTTGGTCAACCAGTCTATAATTAGTTACAATATTGGCTGAACCATCCCAGGCTACTATAATGAAGATTAATTCCTCCCAAAGAAACGGACAGAAAGGAACTACAATGATTTG